GAATACAGAAAGGTCATCCGCATACATCAGATGATTCACATGGATTGGCCCAATCATCCAGCCCGTTTTACATGCATATAATATCATATTATTTAACACCCTCACTCGCTGTTAGCTCACTGGGTAAAACAATACATGCATTTACATAAACAAACATTTTTACATGCCAAACATTTTCTTTGTAAAACCTTTTAGCTTTTGTCAAAAGATCATTTTATCAGTAGGACAATGTACTTTTGCGTTCAATACATTTTCTATTTTTGAAGGGAAATGGAAAATCAAAAAAAGGCTATTTTGCATTTTCAGGCACACAGCAATATACAAAAATGACCTTTTTTTCCCATTGCTTATAAGACATATATATTATAATAACCGGATTTGGCAACTAGAAAATGCAATAATTGACCTTTTTGTATTATGTATTTAATACATTTCGGCCTCAATCGATTACCCGGAAGTGAAAGTTTGTTTACTCGCACGAGATTAATTACCTGTGGATCCCTGATAATTTGTGATAATGGTGGAGGGCGTCTGAGATTTTGCAGTGCATTCACATGGGATAGGCAATATCTGTAAAATACTGTTTTCACTGACATCTCACATAACGGCCGCACGTGCGCGGGTCTACCCACTTCACCCAGTTCAGAGAGTCGCGTCTGACTATGGACCACAGCAGCCACAGAGACCATGTGTAATGTGATGGCTCTATTTTATGTGTAATGTAATTGAAGCAGTGATGTGGCTGAGGGGTATAAAACCTGCTTCCGGTTTAACATTTGTGTTCTGAAGCTGTACGACTGATGCATGACCGGTGTTATGTTCGACATTAAAGCCGATAAACTTATTGGTGTTCCTCCTGACTTTGTATAACACTACACCATGAGGACAAACATTTTACTGCTCTACAGTTCTCTGGCCCATACTGTCTGTAATGTTTAATAATAGTTTGTATAGACTACTTGTGAACCACATACTCTGCTACGATACGTGCGAGCCAACAAATAGTAACGGCTGCATCAACCATAGACTGTATATATATTCAACACGTCTGTACTGTATTACCACAGAGTGCAAAGTAAATGTACAAACACAACCCATCCGTCTGATCATTTAGTGTCCGTGAACACATTACACTGTCTTCTACACTTCTCCATAGACCTCACAGAGACAGCAGCAGCCGCGATCCGCGACTCCTCTGCTCATTGACAAAAACAACGCAGAAAGTAAAGAGAAAGGGACCATAGCGATCACAATCACTGACATGCAGATTCACACAGGATAAGTATTATTACGGGATGTCTGTGTTTGGACAAATACAGGAGGTCATTTGCGTATTAAATTATACTAAATTAGAGCGATTATTTTTATTTTATTATATTATTTATAATATTTTATTTTATTATATTATTTATAATATTTATTTTTAAATATTTATTATATTTATTATATTTGATTTTATTAGGCATATGCCTGAAGTAAACAAACTTGTTTCACTTCCGGGTAATCGATTGAGGCCGAAATGTATTCAATACATATTAAAAAAGGTTCATTATTGCATTTTCTAGTTCCCAAATATATATATATATATATATATATATATGTCATATAAGCAAGCCATTTCCCTTCAAAAATAGAAAATGTATTGAACGCCAAAGTACACGGACCGACAATATTACAAAACCACCTTCCCTGTGATTACAACACCTCTGATGAAATGATCTTTCACGTCATGTGCATCTTTGTCTGTTTACAGGATTCTTTGAGTGTTATTGTTCCTTATTTGTCTTCGAACACTTTTGTTTTAACATATTTGTAACTGTCTAAATCTTGAAGTAGCTGTAAAGACACTCCTGTACAGCTGAAGCTAAAGACATATGCTCGACATGTAGAAAGGGCTACTGTCGGTTGTTTTTGTGTTTTCCATGAAATGAGTGAACTCTCTTTCACATAGACTGGCACAATATCCTGATGTGCTACGTCTGTCTGTCTCGTTTGAGCCCAACTTGCCTCACAGTAAACTTTTAGACCAAGTTTTTCTGTGGTATTCTTTTTGAAGTATAGTCTTTGTTCAGTAGTACCTTTGAGATCCCTGAACACATGTTTCACTGTATTCCAGTGTTCCACAGTTGGTTCACTAAAGTGTTGAGAAAGTTTACTGACAACATAAGTGACGTCAGGTCTGGTGCAAGTGGATCAGTAAATTACACTTCCCACTGCCTCTCCGTATTGTCGGGGTTGTTTTAACATTTCCGCTTTTTCTGAATAATCAATCAGATTCAGGATCAAAAGGAGTTTCTCTCATTTTGCATTTCAAACCTTTCTAAAAATCTTTTTTCACATATATCTCTTGTGACATCTTGACTTGTCCATTAGTTTGTTCAAAATCCATTCCTAAGAAATGTTTCAATGTTCCTAAATCTTTCATTTTGAACCTCTGAGTCAGAGACGAGGAGTTTCTCATGAATAATCTCATTATTAAGGCTGTTGGTGCAGTGGAGAGGTCGGTTCTTTCCTAAAATCGTGAAAATCCTCCTGTGCAGCTTAAAGCCAGAAATCTGTTTTTGTGTCTGTGATAATGATTAATGATTAATTTAATAAAAATGTAAATAACAACTGTAGCGTAAACTTGAAAACTTACAGTGAGACAAATACAAACTCTATTTAAACCCTAAATTCATTACCATATCTCTTAACTTATTCCCTTATTTATTACCTTGACATTCCCTTACCCTTAATTGCTTAATAATTATTATATATATATATTGTAATCAAACTGCTTCAAACTACCCTTTGTTACAACAGACCGACCGTTTTAACGCCCTCTAGTGGCCAAAAGTAGCATACAAGCAACTGTAAACAAAACACGTTACATATTATTACAGAGAAAATACTACAAACAACTTTAAACGAACCTTGTTCCCTCAGTAAATAAATAAGTCATTTACAACATCATTGAACTGTGGAGGAATGGATGAAAAGATGATGACTGTAAAACACGACTGAGGCAGACTCTACACATCTGCCAAACATGACACACAACAACACTACACACAGTTCATGTATTCACTGTTCCTTCTGTATCGTCACATTCAGGGTCATGTTCCTCCACTGTCGCTGTAAAGACTTTGATCCAGGGACATGTTCCTTTTGCTGTTGGACATTTATAAATACATGTTTATTTAGTTGCAGAGAATATGAAGGAGTTTGCTCTTTTGGCCGCGTCAGTGTGGTCTTTCTCAGGGCCCACAGGGATTCCTGCGGCAGGAGCCTTCTGAGGTCTCTCCAACCGCTACAACAGCGCTGGCCTGGAGAAGGCCCTCTGTCAGTGGCTCCACAGGTGAGGCTCCTTCTGTTGGACACACTACATCACCATCTAAAGCAGCAGCACAAAGAGACCAGCATGAGACACCTCCACCACCTGTGCACATCTGTGTCAGTGTTACAGATGTGTGACCATAGTCTCTACAACAGCACAGCAGCAGGGGGCGCCATACTCCTTCATACATGTGGAGCTGAGGCATTAGAATCCTGTGTGTGATGATTCCAACATGCTCCTGATGAGACCAGGAGGAGCCAAGAGGAGACCAGGAGGAGCCAAGAGGAGACCAGGAGGAGCCAAGAGGAGACCAGGAGGAGCCAATAGGAGACCAGGAGGAGCCATGAGGAGACCAAGAGGAGACCAGGGGGAGCCATGAAGAGACCAGGAGAAGCCAGGAGGAGACCAGGAGGAGACTAGGAGGAGCCAAGAGGAGACCAGGAGGAGCCAAGAGGAGACCAGGAGGAGCCAAGAGGAGACCGAGAGGAGCCAAGAGGAGACCAGGAGGAGCCAAGAGGAGCCAAGAGCAGACCAGGAGGAGAGGAGAAGGAGAAGAAAGAGGAAAAAATCAGACGTGGTCATTAGCCTTTTGAAAAAGATCACCTCTGATCTTGAACTGAAGATGGAGGACGCTGTGGATGTAGTTCATAGATAAGAGAGAAGACAAGTTATGATCCTGTTTGCGTTCAGAAGAGTGAAGGAGGAAGTCTGGAGAAGAAGTAAAGATTGTGTAACCTGCAGAGATGAGGGCATCAGCTTCACTGAGATGTTGCCTCAGGAAGATTTGGAGGAGCGGCGGCGTCTTTGGCCACTGACTGAACAGGCCGCAGGGCTGGTAAGCGGCCCTTTTTTTAGACTAACACATCGATGGACGTCGTGTGGATGAAAAAAGACAGAAGATCAGGTAAAATGAGACTTTTTGGTGATGACTTTTTGGTGATGACTTTTGTGCGGTGTGGGAGCTCTAGAGCTGTTTTTTTAGTCTACGCATTAACATTTTACTTATGTATTTTTTTCTCTCTTTACTTAGAAGTGGGTAGCCTGGTCGTACCACACCATAGTACAAATTACATTTCGTACTAAGGTCTGGATTTGCTCCATTGAGCTCTGTGAACAGGTGGGAGGGGTTAACTCCTTTTGCAGATTGAAACGATTGGATCTGAGTTTACCGTGACGTATGTAATGCGCCCGAGTCTGTTGTTAGCATTTAGCATTTAGCCTGACTTGACAGCTGTTAAAAAATGGTTTTTGAATTCAGACCTGTGATCTGTGCATAAAGTGCAGTCCCTTTGTTTCTGAACATTGTTTTGTTGGATGTAAACAAACTTGTATTAAATTTAAGAAGTCCTTAAAAACAGATGAAGATCAATGTGCACATGTTGCTGCGGTAAGATGGTTCTGTTATCGTTATGTGAGGAGATAAAAGTGAGATCCTTTATCCCTGATTGAGTCCAAGCCTTGTCTCCACCAAACAGCAGCAGGGAAAGCAAAAGAGTGAACTTTTAGAAACACTCGCAGTTAGCCAGTCTTTTTTTAAAACCAGGAAATACAGAATTTACGGTTTTGACAATAATTTTTTTGTATCATTTCAATATTCTTGGGATTGTGTGGTGGAAGTGAATCCTTCTGAAGACAGAGCAGAGAATGTGCTTTTTTATGCATTGTTTACACAGAAATAGCAGCGATGACCAACTCTGTGATCAGTAAATGTCAAACTCTGGGCTGAGTCAATTAAACCCATTTTCAAACCAACATTGCAGCAGTGGAAGGGGCCGGAACTCACAGAACCTCAACCTCGCTGAGATTGAAGGGATTTTTTTACGAAAAGGATCAATTTCAAATGTAAACAATACGACAATACAGCTGATAGATATGTAAATGTTTTAAAGACAATTAGTAAATATGAAATAAAAATAATAAGCTGCTGGGCTGGGGCTCTCTGCTTCTCACCCACTGCGGCTCTGGCTTCGGGGTGTCCGCTCCACCCACTCTCAACATCAGCCTGGACCAGGAGCCAGAGGAGCGCTGGAAGCCCCTGAGCCTTTACTTCGACCCCGCGTATCTCAAGAACGCATCGGATGAAGTTATTGAGAAAGTGCTGAGTGGATGTCAGCTCCTGCAGGACTGACAGGCTTGAATAGAATGATGGTGGACATGCTGGAGAGGAGATGTCGGGAAGATCAGGCTAAATATGGATGTGTAGCACTCGTGTTGGATGATGTGGCCATCAGAAAACTTGTGCAGTATAATCCACATACCCAGTCAATGTTTGGTTTTGTAGACCTGGGTGATGGAAACAGCCAGACTGATGTTGCTACTGAGGCTCTTGTGTTCATGGTGGTTGGACTACAGGGACATTGGAAGGCTCCCAGAGTGAACTATCTGAATGAACTGTTTGAATTAATAATATAAAGGTATTGGTGAGGATGATGCTACCTTTTTTGAGTCACATTTGCAGAGGATTGAAATATGGATTCAGACTGTGTTTATGTTTGGGTCACTCAGCGCTGATGTTCAGAATTCTTTGCTCAGTTTTCCTGTAGTTCCAGAGAGTTGTAGTTTTGAAGTAGGTTAGCCTCACTGTTACTCGCCTGCCACGGGAAAACCTTTGGGAACGGTTTTCTTTGCAGTCATTAAATAAACCTTTGGGCATTCATAAAAGTGACTGAAGTTTATTTTGTGTGTTCTGTTGGTACAAAGCCGTATAATAAGCCCCGACCCCGACGCTCTTCGCCCTGTCGCAAATGTTCCACAATTCTCTAGTGTTGCTTTTGTTTTTTCCCAGTAGTTTATGTAATAGTCCTTCTTTGCAGTTCTTATGTTTGTTAGCTTGTTTTTGTATCTTTTGTACTTTTGCTCAGCGTCCACAGTTCTTACTTTAATGAATCTTTTGTAAAACACTTTTTTTTACAGGTGTAACCGGGTGGTTCATCTAGTTTAGTTTAGTTTAGTTTATTCACAATTCACACAGTCCCTAAAAGTACATGTGCTACATTGTGAAAATGGAACTCCCAGAAGCAGAAGCTTATACATTAGGGATCCATCTCACCACCACCACCACATACAGTCTATCAAACATGTCCAGTTTGGGGAAAAGGAAAGAAAACATATATATGCATATATACATACATACACACATACACATACACATACATATACATACATACACATATATATATATATACATATATATACACACATACACACCTACATAAATATATATATATATACATATACTATATATATATATATACATATATACATACACACACACACACATATATATATATCTACATATATATACATCATACATGCTCATACATATACATATATCATATCCACATAAATATAAAAATAATAAGTGCTCCCAGATACATAAGTAAGAATAATAATAATAATAATGAAAATAATCCTAAATGAAAAATAATAACAGATAAAAAAATAATAAAAAATAATAACATCTTCATCACCCTTCAAGGAAGTACAGGACGCTTGGGCAGGCGGAGCTGCTGAATGCTCATCTCCGCTACCAATAATAATAATAGTAATAGTAATAGTAATGATTAGTATAATATTTAATATATTCCTAATATGTATTTGCAAGTGATTGTGGCTGGAGTTTACTGTAGGGTAACTTCTGCCGGCCCTGAGATCATGGCTGTGAAAGAGAGATCAGCCACTCGCCTCAAACAGATCCAAATACAGAGTGGTTCAAAACTCTTTTAGTGCTTCAACGCTTCCATGCTGTCACATACCTCCCCAGTAGATGAGCCTTCAGTTCCCTCTTAAATTTTGATAATGTGGCACATTGCTTTAAGTTACTATCCAACTCATTCCATATATATGGGCCTTTGTGGCAAATACTAAAACTTGTGCATTTTAATTTTCTGTATTTCCCTTTAGAGAGCAGTTTGTTCCTAGTATTATGTTGATGTGACGGTAAATATAATGTAATGAGTTCACACAATCTAACATTTAACTTGTTAACCACACTATAGATTGTGCATGCATTATGAAAAAGATTAACTTCAGGCAGCTTCAATAGACCATATCTATGGAAGAGAACATCTGTGGGAGCATGACCCGAGGACCAAGAAATAGTTCTTATTGCTTTCTTTTGTAATATTTGAAGTTTAGACATGTACGTGGGGTAAGTATTATTCCATATGATATGACAATTATGCAGATGAGGCTCGAACAGAGATCTGTACAAGGACAGCAAAGCTTCTAAGGGAAGAAACTTTCTCACTTTAAACAATAAACCTACAATTTTTGACCATTTTTGAACAAGCTCATCAAGATTCTTTTTAAAATTTGTAAATTGATCTATATGGATTCCTAAGAATTTTATAACTTCAACTTTATTAATGGTTTTACTATCAATAGTTATGTTAATATTTGGGTCATGGTACAGATGACTGAGTGAAAGATCATATAAGAAGTCTTGTTGGGATTAAGTGACAATTTATTGCATCTGAACCAGTTATTCACTTTGATTAGTTGCTCATTTACTACTGTTGACCCACTGTTAGGGGCAACAGTAGCTCAGTTGGTAGAGCATTGGCCTTTGAGCCTGAAGGTCGTGGGTTCAAGCCCACCGTAAGACCTACTTCACGACTCCCACTGATGACTGCTGTCGTTGTGTCCTTAGGCAAGACACTTAACCCCACTTTGCCTGAAGCTCCCACTGAAAGATCTCAGCTCCTGTGGACTCACCACCTGCAGGAGGATCATCTCTGGCCACCCCCCTGACCCAGAAATGGATTAAGGGGAAGAAAATGGATGGATGGATAATTGGTCATTTAAGGAGTTTTCAAGGTGATCCATGTGTTTATGCGACATAAACAAATTTGTGTCATCTGCAAAAAGTATTCAATGAATATCACAAGAATTCCCAAAATCATTAATGTAGATAATAACATTAATGCCGGGCGGCAGTAGCTCAGTTGGTAGAGCTTTGGCCTTTGAGCCAGAAGGTCGTGGGTTCAAGCCCCGCTCAAGACTTTCACCATCGACTCCCTCTGACTACTGTCGTTGTGTCCTTGGCAAGACACTTAACCTCTGGGAACACCAGCCACAGTGGGGCGGCTGCGGCTGTAAAGTGCCAAACTGCCGTTGTGTCCTTAGGCAAGACACTTCACCCCCATTGCCTAGAATGAGTCTGGTGTGTGTGTGAATGGTTGGTGGTGGTCGGAGGGGCCGATGGCGCATACTGGTTGCCTCGCTTCTGTCAGTGTGCCCCAGGGCAGCTGTGGCTACAGCAGTAGTTTATCACCACCGTGTATGGAGTGAATGAATAATGACACATGTGAAGCGTCTTTGAGTGTCCAGAAAAGCGCTATATAAAACCGATGCATTATTATTATTATTATTATTATTAATAAACAAGAGGGGCCCTAGTATAGATCCCTGGGGAACACCAAATGTTATGTTTTCCAGTTGAGAGTCAGCCCCATCTATGTTCACGTATTGTCTTCTTCCATAGATATAGTCTCTAAACAACTGAAGAGCTATACCCCCGGACGCCATAGTGAGAGAGTTTACCAAGTAAGACTTGAAAGTCGATCGAGTCAAATGCTTTGGAAAGGTCGAGAAAAACCCCAATACCAATTTCTCTACCTTCAAGAGCATTGTTGATTTTTTCAACAAGATCTAATATGGCCATACACGTGCTGCTGCTTTTTCTGAAGCCATATTGTGAAGGATCCAGTATATTATGTTTGTTTAAATAATCTCAATCTTTCATACACTACTCTTTCCAAAATTTTGGACAGGGTGGGCAGAATAGATATAGGTCTGTAGTAGTGCATGTCATTTTTGTCCCCAGACTTATATATAGGTATTATTTTTGCCACCTTAGTCTATTTAGGGACAATGCCTTGTTGTAAAGATAGATTAATAATATGAGTCACTGGTTCAGCTATTTCATTCACAATGGCCTTCAGGATTTTGCTGCAAATGCCGTCTGCACCAGCCGTATATGAACATTCCATTTTATTTATTATATTGGTTACTTCCATTTTGCAGGTAGGTCTGAGGTAGCAGGAGCTAGAGTAATTGTCAAGAAATCCTTATAATTCACACCCCCTGGTGGGCAGATTTGTTGAGACAGCTCTCTTCCAACTGATGAAAAGAATGCATTAAAAGCATTGGGCAGAGTCATTCTTGGTATTGCTTTTAGATTCAGTTGATACTCCGGAGTCAGGGAGGACTGGTGCTTCTTTGTTGCGGCCGAGTACCTCATTCAGCACCTTCCAAGACTCCTTCTGATCCCCTGAGACTGTTTTAAGTCTATTTGCAAAATAATTAGCTTTACTGACTCGTATTAAACTCGTTAATTTGTTCTTGCATTTTGTATATCGATCTTTATTAGAACAATTTCTTTTTTTTAATATTCCTTATATATAGAGTTTATTTTTTTGCCGGATTGACTTTAAGATTCCAGTTGTAATCCATGGATGCCATTTTTTACAATGTTTTAATTATTTCTCTGGAATGGTTACATTGATGGAATCATTAATTTCATTGATTAAGGAATTATAGGCATTGTTGGGGTTTGAAATTTTATAAAAATCATCCCAACTTTTATTTTTGAGATGTTAAGAGAGATTAACGAGGGTTTTGCTATTTAGAACTTGTATCTTCCTCTCTGAACATGAACCTGGTACTCTATCGGTCCAGTTAGTGAACAGAGCAACAGGGAAATGATCAGTGATATCAGAATATATTACATCTGATTTGCATCCAGTGTTTTGGATGTTTGTTATTATATTGTCTATAGTGGTCTTGCTTCTCTGTAACTCTGGTGTATTTATCAATAGTGGGATAGAATGATGAGGAGCAAAGGGTATTTTGAAAGTCAGTTCCTATTATATCTTTTTTAGATAGGTCTATATTAAAGTCACCCATGATAATACAGTTTTTCTTCATCATATTTATGGAGTTTAACATGTTATCAAAGTGGTCTCTAAATGTTTCATAGTTGGAATCAGGTGGTCGATATACTACTCTTTTATTGTTTTTACCTCTAGAAATAATGAATCAGAGTCCTCAAATTTCTCAAATTCACTACAGCAATTTATGTCAATTATTCCCATACTTTTAGTATGACATATTTCAGATTAAGCA